TGTGTGTGTGTGTGTGTGTGTGAGTGTGTGTGTGAGTGCCTGTCTGATTCCCTCTCTCTGACTCTGCTTCTCTCTCTGTGCCTGTGTAGTTCTCTCTCTCTCTCTCTCTCTCTCTCTCTCTCTCTCTCTCTCTCTCTCTCGGCTCTGGCGTATCGAACAAGACAAAGACGATTCGACTACGGCTTCTGCAAGGTCGGCTATGGATTCGCCTACAGATAGGTGGGATGATTACCAAAAGCAAAGGAACCGGGCGGGGGGGGGAGGGGGGAGGGTTAAGCACCGGGACCCAAGGAATTGCGGGTGTGAAATCCCGATCCCGATCTCATCTGGACCGCAACTAATCCCCAAAAAGCCGGCGCATCAAGGCCGACGTCCTCTGATTCCGACACGCCCCTCCAATGCTCGGCGCGCTTCTTCTTGACTGAACCTAGCCGCCAATTGTGACCAGATACGACGAGGAAAAAATACTCGTATTGACTGGTAGGTAGGGAACGTGGTTAACCTGGACCAGCGCTCATCTCTTCCCTGGCTCTTCGTCGTGCTACACGTGGCAGAACCCCAGCAATAGAATCTTAATTAATCGGTCACCTGATTGTTCGACTAATTAGCTTGTTCATATTTGTCCGTTTCCTCGGTATCTTCATTGGGTGATCCATCGCTTACATGCTTGATCGCGATAGCCATGCCGGTCCCTATCCCGTTCAGACTCTGATCTGTTCAACCCCCCGTCGTCGCTGGATCTTATCGCCCACCACCATACTCATACTAGCGCTTTTTCTTGAGTGAATCTGGCCGCCAACTGTGACCAGATACTTACTAAGTGAAAAGTGCTCGTCTTGAGAATATATACGCTTTTATTGTCACTGCTCCGCGCTTCCTCCAATGGCATTCCACGTGGCAACGACAAGAACTCGCCCGCATTCCACGTGGCAGCAGCTTGAACATCTCCACGATGGGCACGCGCGCCTTCTCCCGCGCAAATTAGCGCGGGAGATTTTGACCGTATGGGAGTTGATTGCCCGTCTATTGGCAGATCACAACGTTTAAAACAATGCAATATGGGTATATAACCCTGCTGTGGAACGACCATGCAAGGAATCGAACCAGCGATTCGGGTATATTACCCCCCGCTACACAGCCGGCCGCCTTAACCACTGCAACCGTGACCGAGGGTACAACATTACGTCTGAGGCACTGCGGCTACCTGTTGTGTTCTATCTAAGCCCACGTGGGTAGCACAGCAAGCATCCGTAAGCCACGTGGCAGCACGACAGCTCTCTGTAAGCCACGTGACCGAGGGTACAACATTACGTCTGAGGCACTGCGGCTACCTGTTGTGTTCTATCTAAGCCCACGTGGGTAGCACAACAAGCATCTGTAAGCCACGTTGTAGCACAACAAGCATCTGTAAGCCACGTGGCAGCGGCGGCATTATAACCCTCCTTCACGGTTCTGATAACAGTCGGCTGCCTCCCCTCTCCCTCAATCCAACAAGTCTGACCAATCTTGACCGAGCTCGACGGCATTCCACGTGGCAGCTTGAGAGTGGTGCCACGTGGGTCTTCGTTACACGGTCGGTCTTGTCCCACGTGGATCTTCGTTAGTCCTACTGCCACGCGTCAGCTGTTGACGGTGCCACGATAGCAGCGCAACGTGTGATGTGAGCTACCCTGGTGGCTATACGAATCTCCACGCCGATCGATCTTTCTTGTAGACAGGCCACCATAGCAGCCTTCTTCAGGTTGTCACTCCCGCATACGGCGGGCCGCGATTTTCAGGTCCTGCCCAACGGGCCCCTATTTTCAGGGCGACCCCCTATTTTCAGGTCCTGCCCAACGGGCCCAAAAATGAATTTAGGGTTTGGGGGTCAATGGCACGAGAAATTTCTGAGAATTTACGAGCACAGAGGGATGTTTCGAGGCGTTAGGGCGCCCCGGCTACTCACGGAAAGTGGAACCAGGAGAATGTAGCGACCTCTACAGGGTCGCAAAAACTACACCCTCCAATTGACCGCCTTAGCTCTGTTGGTACACCCATAAACTATTGAAATGCAGGAAGTTGAGTTCGAAATCCGGACGGAACCCCGGAACTAGGGTCTCGTTAGACACTCCTGAAGGAATCCTAAAAGATTTAGGACGAGTCCTAAAAGATTTTTAGGAATTGCTGCCGGGTGGTTACACTCACTCGTTCCTAAAGAAAAGCTTTTAGGAACTGTCCTGAAGGGTCTCCCGCCGCCTGTTTTCATATACGTACATAGAGCTGCGCCGACGATATCCGCCCATTGCATCCCGTGTTCGTAGTACACAGGGCGGCGTGCCCTGCCCGGCTCATGACGGGGAGGTCAAAAGCGCGCGGAGGCCGGCATTCGAAAATTTGAATTCGAATCTCCACGGATGCAAGCTGGGGGGCCGAAGGACAAGTAGTGGCCATATTCGTCGTAGAAAAGACGGCGCTGCTGATCCCCCACTCGTAGGGAGCCGTGTTCGCCTAGAGTGCGAAGTCGTGTTCGCCTGGAGTGCGAAGTCATGTGTGGCGTGTGAAGAGTTGTGTTGCAGCGAACACAAGCGGGGTCTTCTGCGGTGGCGATGTCGGAGCAGAAACCCTTACAAGGGTATCTGCTCGGGTTTTTTAATTTTGTTAAATTAAGGAAACTTGATGAGACTGGCATCTGCCAAAGTTTGTTCAGACTAACCCAATGACCGAGATACCTAATTTTTAAAATCTGACGTCACAGAGGGAGTCGGCAGTACGGACTGTCGTCCACAGTTCCCGACAAGGCCGCAGGAATGCACGGTCTTGAAAAGGCTAAAGCTAGACTATTCTAGCTAAAGGACTAACGCACGGCTCTTAAGCCGCACGATTCAGGGTATGATTAGGTTGAAAAAGGGTCGTCACGACGAAACTTGGAACCGTGGCGCGGAGAGAATATAAAGTTTTTTTTAAGAAGCCACAGGGGGCCGACACTTACCTATTGGGTTGGTTCCTGTCCGAATGGTGCAGGAAGGCGGAGCAGGCGGGCCTTGCCATGTCACGAGAAGGTGGGTTTGGCAAGCAAAGCCTGTTGGGCCATAGGTGGGCAGGCAAGTGAAGTCCCCCTAGCCATAGGAGGGCAAGCGGGCAAAGCCTGCCCAACCATAGGTGGTCGGCCTACTGGGGAAAAACCCTTCATATAAAAGTGTCGCTCTTGCTATACCAAGAGCAGGATCCAGCCCAGTAGGACACGACATTGGACAGTCACCCAGAGGATATCGGGATCGAATCCGAATGCGCCCTTCTAGCCCTAGCTCCTTTTGGAGCAGTCAGTACACTAGCGGGTCACAGGACGTTCCACTGGGGCGGAACTCTTCATAAGGAAGAGTTGTCCAAGCTCCTACCGTAGTAGGAGCTAGCCCAGTTGGTAACGTATGAGACTGTCACCTAGCAGGTGTTGGGATCGAGCCTGATGATACACCATATGGGTTAGCTCCATTTTGGAGTTGCCCGTTCGGGTTGGAGGCACGGTCGACTTCGACCGAGAAATCTCGAGATCTCACAGTCGAAAACGACCGCGCAGATACTGCATGGCCGCTGCGTAAAGATGACACGAATAAACCAAAAAAAAAAAAAAAAAAAAAAAAAAAAAAAAAAAAAAAAAAAAAAACTAAGACTAACTCAACGTGGAGCGCCACATGGCACGTTCTGAAGTGCCAAGGGCACTTCAGTCCCCAGAGGTCGTGGCAGGCGCCCATTTTCACAGGCTGTAGTTTTGTTTCTTTCTCTTTCTTTGTCTTTAGATTTTTTTAGATTTTTTTTTTAAGATTCTTTATCTTATTTTTTTTATATAGATTCCCTCCAACTCGTTTTTTTTATAAGTTGTAGTTCCTCTCTGCGTCCGTTTCTTTCTAAGAAAACGGGCTGCAAAGAGATTTTCATCTATAGGATGGGTAAAAACGGATGAATCTGCCGCAAAAGCGCGGTTACATCTGGACGCGGCTTTGGTACCTTGTACTTGAGTTACAAGGGACTCTCTGCACACGCTTTGGGTGGTTTCCAGTTCATGGGGTACACGCGTGCCGTGCGGTATGGGGGCAGTTGCTCGTGGGAAAACGAGCAACTGTTCCCTCAGCAACTGCTGAGGAAACCACCCCAGCCTGTGTCTGAATCTGGCTGGGGTCGTGGGTTGTATGCAGGCACAGACAGGAATGGGGGGGGGTGAAAAGGCTGAGGGGGAGAAAGGGAAACGGGAGAGTTGGGAGGAGGAGGGCCTACCAACACTGACAACTGTCCTCCCCGTTTTCAAGGGAGGGCAGAGGTAGAAGGGAGAAAAGGGAAAAATAAAAAGCCACGGCCACGAATGTGGCCGCGACTATGATCAGATACAGGTCAAACTAGCCTGAATATGACTCAAGTCAGAGGCTGGGGAACTGAAGGGTCAGTGAGGGGAACTTGGCTGGAAACAACCATTTTCCCACTGAACCTGCACTTAGTGTGGGGCTGAGTGCAGGGAAAAAGGAGAAAAAGAGGGGGGCAGTTGAGTACAACTCCCACCCTAAGTGTGTGGCTGAGGTGAGACAGCCTCAATCCGTTGATCTGGCGCAGATCAACAGCCGCAGGCAAGTGACGAATTTTGCCTGGGGGCAGCTGAGGCTGCCAGTGCTGCTGCCCTCCTCAGCCATTACGAAAGAGGCAGCTGTCCCCCAGCTGCCTCACACTTACCTCCAGTTGCCAGTGTGTGACAACACACTTGCCTCATTGCTGGAGTGCTGGAGAGGAGGCAGGAGCGCCGCCGACGGAGCTGGAGGACAGCCAAGTCAAGGCAGGGAGCACTCTGCTCCCCTCCCTTTTGGCTGGCGCTGATCCAACGGGACGGAGCCAAGGACTCTGCGGGACTACGGCGACAACTCTGGTTTTAACGGCGGTGGTGCGGAAGCGCTGCCGAATTTTTGCGGCGACAACTATGGTTTTAACGGTGGTGGTGCGGAAGCGCTGCCGAAGTTTTGCGGCGGCAACCCTAGTTTTAACAGCGGTGGTGCGGAAGCGCTGCCGAATTTTTGCGGCGGCAGCTCTGGTTTTTACGGTGGTGGTGCGGAAGCATTGCCGAATTTCTGTGGCAACAACCCTGGTTTTAACAGCGGTGGTGCGAAAGCGCTGCCGAATTTTTGCGGTGGCAACCCTGGTGTTAACAACGGTGGTGCGGAAGCGCTGCCAAATTTTTGCGGCGACAACCCTGGTTTTAACGGCGGTCGTGCGAAAGCATACCGAATTTTTGCGACAGCCGCTCTGGTTTTAACAGCGGTGGTGCGGAAGCGCTACCAGATTTGCGGCGTGGCGACACTTGATTTTTTTTGGCAGGGAAATGCTGCCGGATTTGCGGCACGGTGACACTTGATTTTCTTTTGGCGGGGAAGTGCTGCCGGATTTTTTGCGCGGCGACACTTGATTTTATTGACGGGGAAGTTGCCGGATTGGTGGCGCGACAGCATTTGTTTTTTTTCTTTGGTGTGAAAATGTTGTTGGACTAGCAACACGACAACAGGGATTTGCAACACGATAGCGGCGGAGTTTTTTTTCTTTTTACGGTGCGACGTCTGTTTTGTTTAATGAGGTTGCGCTACCATAGTTGGCGTGTGCGGCGGCGGTAACATGACGTGGTGGTTGTTGGCGCGCGGCGCACTATGAAATCTGTGTGCGGAGCGAATGTTGGTGGCATAGGACCATCAGGGACCACTTGGGACCGGTTAGGACAGACGTGGTGCCAGTTGGAACTGTCTTGGAAACAACATTTTTTTTTGGGACTCGTGCGACTTGCCGCCATCGAATCTGGGACTACCGCGTGTGGGACTTGCGAGTCGGGAACAGATTGGGACAAGCAGTTGGCTTGAGACTTGCCTTGTGGCTGCAATTTTCTTTGGCAACAAGTATATTCTTTTTTTGTTTTCTTGAGTGAGCCAGGGCGTGTTCGACACCACTTCACTCAAAGTCGGTCAGTTGATTGACTCAGATTTCCTTTCATATCTGTGTGAACCCACACTTTGGTTTACCCTGTTCATTGAATGTTCGTTGAAAAGGTACAAAAAAGTCATGTGTATCGTGTATGTGAATGGAAAGGTCTGACTTGGGCATGGGATTGCACTGATTTTTTATTGAACTTGTTGTCTCTGCATGTTGTGCAGGTAGGTAGAAGGATGCTTGCAAAGGGAATTGATTATGCTTATTTGAGAAAATGGAAAAGGAGTGTATTTTTTTGACTTCTCACCTGCATGCATGCCAAGAAGGGTTGGGTGTTTTGAAAAATGTTAATTTTTTTTACGCACACTATAAAACGAATTCAAATCAAATAAAGCAAATAAGGTCAAACGAACGTAGCCTTTTTCCAAAGATTGGTCATCTCTTTCCTGAATGACTTTTCTTTATCTGTCTAAATGGTTCTCATTCTCTATCTTTTCTAACTATTTTCGTTTGAGTTACACTGGGCAAGAGACGAAGAGGACACTTGAAAATCTACTTGTCGTGAACACATTCTCTTCCTTCAGAAAGCATCTGGGGCGAGGGTTCGTTGTTGTAGGAGCCGACCCTATTATCGACCCATAGTGGACCGTTGTACAAGGGCGTACTTTGTCGATTCAGGGGAGACAGACTGACTTTTGAGATCCGAGTTTTGTGCTCGGGCGAGGAGGAGGAGTACCCCAGACCACTTCCTAGAGGGAGAGGCATGCGACACCGCAAGTAATGCCCCTGATCAAGAATTATCCACAAAAACGCCCGTCATCCAAGAAGATTGAGAAACGTATGGAGACGGGTGTGTGCGTGTTCAATCTTAGGCCGGCGGTAAGATGGAATGACTAACTTTGGCAACGCATCTCATCAAGTCAAAACTAAGGCAGACCGACTACCTTGTCGGCTCCATTGAGGTTATTGTTGAAAATCAACTCCTCGTTGACGGCTGTATGATTTTGTGGAATTTGACCACGGGTGGTCGGATTTTATTTTGATATTGTGTTATTGTATGTATCTAATGGTGATTTGGATTCGTTCGGTTATCATTTCGGATTGGATATATGTTTATGTCGACTACGTCGATTCTTTTTTGATAACT